AAAATAATCTGTACACCAAAGCCCTGTGACATGCAATTTACCTATATAATAAACCTGCATATGTATCCCTGTACCTAAAATAAAAGTTTATTTTTAATCTGATTTTTTCTTTCTGTTTTGAGAATCAGTTACTACCTCTGTCATAACCAAATTTCCATACATTTTTCATTGTTTTTAGACTACTTTGTCTATTCTGTTGATCTTTTCTCTATTTCCAGAGCCAATACCATACTTTTTAGTTACTCAGAATTTCTGGAAAATTTTGATATTTGATAGAGAAAGTCTTACCTTGTTCCTCTCTTCAAAATAATCTCATCCCTCCTTGGTCCTGACAGGGCTTAATTTGTCAAGTTGGGTTTACATTTCTGTTGGCTCTCTTTATTTGTAATTGAAATGTTTTTCTGTAGTATTATGTGTGCTTATTTGGAATTCATTCCTTTTTTGTAAAAATATGAGGTGGATTAAGAAAAAAAGACCAATGAAATAGAAATGAGAGAGAGAGAGAGAGGAAGATTGAAGGTAAAAACAAAACAGAGAAGGAAAGTATGCTAACCATTAAAGTCATAAGATGATTAGAATTAAACATAAAACTTTCTTAAAACTTTTCTAATAAGGATGAAGAGGTATGTCTAACAAGTATTTGAGTCCACTGACAGAAGAAAACACATCAGTTTTATGATGGAAAACATTTATATTTGAATACTAAACTCTGTCAGAAAAGTCTTAAATGAAGCATTTCATAGGAAATATTTTAAAACAATGTCTTGAAAACTAATTAATAATTACAGAAATGCAGTTCTTATGGTGGTAGTGAATAATATTTTAATGTTATAAAACTTGATAATAAATAGCTAACATTATATCATCTACCCTTTCCAGTGTTCCACCTTGATTCATAGATGGAAATGAGAATACTATCAAAGGCTTTAAGTAGATAGGATTTTTCTCTAACTTGGCAGTTGGCAAAGTAGGGCTCTTGGGTTGAATCCACCCCACCTGTTTTTGCAAATAAAGTTTTATTGGAAAGCAATCACAGTCATTCATCTGCATATTGTCTATGGCTGCTTTCCTGCTCCTAATGGCAGAGTTGAGTTCTTGTGACAAAAACCATATGACCCACAAAACCAAACATATTTACTATCTGGCCCTTTCCAGAAAACGTTTTGCCATCCCCTGGTCTACATTATCAACTTTTAAGTTATTTACTCTGTATTTACTCTGGGTACATTCCCCCAACCTCCTTTATAGCACCTGAGAGTTTAAGCCAAACATGTAATGTGCACATGGTGGAGATGAGGCCCTTCGTCCACATGATAACTTGATGTCTTGACTCAGGAAGAGAATGTACTCTCCTCTCTCCACTCTTCCTACCCAGGAATTCCATCAACCTAAGAAAAAATAACTGAAGGAGCACAAAGATATTCCACATCCTGAATTACAGAAATCTTCTATTAGCCTCAGCACCATGTTTTTGTTGTTGTTGCTGTTTTCTTTTACTATGCCTGGAGAGCAGTTCTGGCTCCTACCTTCCATGCTTCTCTTGGTCTCTTAGCCTTGGCAGTCCTTTCTGGACTCTTAGTGAGCAGGCCATGGCAATCCTGAGATGGCACCTTTCTCTTCATCAGGGCTTAAGCTCTGGTCAGCCTTGTGATTTCTGTAACTTATTTTCCCCGTAGGCCCAGTGCTGAATTCCTTTCAGCTCCCTGATGTTAAGTCAGCTTTGTTAAAATATTTTTTAAGGACTGGTTAACTGAACTGTCACAACTCCAAGCTGGCAATATATTCCAGTGGAAAAAGTACAGAATTTAGAGCTAAAAATCCCATTTTTGAGTTCTCAACCTTGATGCTTACCAGACAAATGTCCTTGGACAGCTTGCTTAAACTCTGAGACTCAGTTTTCTCGTCTGCAAAATGAGGACACTAACAATGCTTGCCACACCTATCAGGGTTATTGTGAGAAACAAATATGTGAGATATGTGAAAAAAAATTGAAACTACAAAATTACACACATGTGTTCATCATTATCACCAGTTCTCAAAAGCTCTCTCAACAATTTTTCCTAATCTCTAAAGACATTTTACTTGTGTTCAAGAATGAGTCCATTAATTCTCCATTGCATCCTATGTGCCAAAGGGCCTCACCATTGCTTTAGCATCTGTGTTTTTTTTGGGGAATGCCCTGCTCTTCTGGCACAGCCACTACTCTAGGAATTACTACTCTTGGACCTGAGCATCTCAAATCTGTGGTCTTTGGTAGTTTGAGGGTGAGGGTCAGATAAAAATGTTTCTCTTGTTTCTCACGAACTCCACGTATCATTTCTTGTGGCCCTGGACCCCAAAGAGATCCTGATCATGCTTAGAGAATCACATGCTCATCAATGAGTTTAATTTCTTGCCCAATTCTGTCTGAGCTCAAAAACGGAAGATGGAGGCAAAAGTGGGAATGGGGATAAAAGTACTATTGCACCCCAAAACAAATACTTCCCAGTATCTTCGTCCCTCCAATTTCTGTTCTGAGTACTCAAATTTGTGTCCAAAATGTCCTTCTTCATGAGACTGGGTCTCTTTTCCCATTTCTTTATCCTGCCTCTTTTCTAACTCCTTTAACACCTAGGAGGAGCAACTGGTAATTGAATTCTCATTTCAGGACATAAACAGGGTCACTTGTATGACTGAGTAGGGTTACTCTCTATTAAAAGATAGGTGAGGTTCTTTAGTTTTTATTTTCATTTTTTATGCATGTCATTTTGAGCATGTGCATTGTTTCTTCATCTATCTCCAGTATCATGGAGTAAGCTCCGGAGTAGTCAAATTACAAGATTTGGATGTGAGCTCAGGGGATGGCAGAGACCCTCATTGGCTTTTAGGAAATGCTATCTATCACAAGCCGGCTTTACTAGAGCTCTGCGTTGCAAGTTGGAATAAGATTAAATTAGATAAGAGATAAATGAAACTCCTTTGCTCTTAGCAATTGCTCCTTCTGTAGCTAATTCCCCCAGGACCCACATAGAGGAGGAGCAACTCAGATGTCCTTGTGCCAGCAATAGCTCACATAGCTTATATTTATGCATTTATGTAAATAAATGACTAGAGTGGTCACTGGCCCATTGGTTTCTGCAAATGGCTGCTTTCTGTGTCCCAGGTTAGGCTCAACTGGGACACCATGTTATAAGCTGTAATCCAAATTTTCTTTAATTTTGAACTGCTTTCTACCGAAAGGAAAAATGAAGATTACAAAAAAAAAAAAGTGGACCGTGATATCTTTGCCAGATAAAACATAATTTGCTTTATTTTTCCCCTTTGCACCATTAAGAGATTTATTATCTTCTATTTATTTTCAGCACTTCCCTTCATTTCTGGGAAGTCAGACCTGCCTAAATCATTATTGCATCTGAACAGAGTTTTACAGACAGATTTCCAGTAATGGGCTCAAATAATAGGCTCTACTTGGCATTTCATAATGGCCCTTTATGGCACATAGAAGGGCAGTTCTTCTTATGTGTTTCCTGAGAAGCAAACATGAGTGGCCCCAGGGGCCTAGTGGCATTGTTGAAAGCAGTCCACCACAAATTTTAAATTTCTTTGTGATCATATATTATGGAAAATTTGCATTCTACATAACGATATATTTGTTTTTCTGTATAAATAAAATGCCTTAAAATTTTAATTGACATTTCAGGCAGGTGTACCATTTTTATCCTGGCACACTTGGGCTGACTACTGTTTACTGTTAGGGGGTAGATGCATCCCCAGTTTGAGATACGTATGGCTTGTATGCAGGAAAACGGGACTTGAGTCTTGATTCTTCCACTTTTAGACATCTGTGAATGTGGGTACTTACCCTCTTAGAATATAGATCCTTCCCTATAAAATGGGCTGTTGTAATGGGGGAGTCCACAATTGGGGATTCTTTTTTTGTTAAGTAATTGCTTAATGTTAAGAGGGAAGAGCTGATTAGAACTAATGGGGAAGTCTGAACCCCAGACCATTTTGAAGATAATGAAGGGTGGACATTTTCATGAAACTTAAACTGCTGTCATTTTGCAAGAGCTATACTTTATCGTATTTGTTCCTTGGGGATTTTTATAGTGCTTTTCCTCATAGGAGTGCCCATGTTAGGAACAATAGTTCTCAGGAAACTTCTAAGACGGCTACCAGCCCCAGGCTCTCAGAGTTGCCTCTCGTGAACCCAACTCAGTAAATGATTAGAAATGAGCTTTTCTATTTCCGTCACTCACCAAGCACTATGGTATATGAAAAAATTGTGAGCTATGGTCCATGCTGTCAAGGATTTGAAGTCTTGTTGGAGGAAACCTATAAAGCAGTTGTAAGAATTCTTCAATAATAGCATAAGAATATGTAATAATGCAATATATAAGAATATAACAGTGCACATATATCAAGGACCTACTGAATAATTAGCACTTTTTTTTTAATTCTCATAACAACTCTGAAAGAAAAAAAATATTGTTTCTGTTTTGCTGATATGAATATCAGGGCTCTAGCTCAAGACTGCACCATGAAGTGCCAAAATGAAAAAGTAGATTTAATAGAGTCATATGCTAGCTGACATATCCTCCTGCATTGAGTTATTCTCTGTAAATGGACTTTACTCAAACTGATTCTTGAACTGTAGTATTTGGGGCCAAATGGAGATAAGAATGATAATAACTGCTCAGTTTCCAGAAGCAAAGCTGATGTGAGATATACTCAGTACTTGCTGAATTGACCAAAGAGGTTGACTGCTGTAAAAACAAAACAAAACAAAACTCTAAACTCAGCATTATGGCTTACTACTTCTTTGCATCACCTTCTGACATCTAGCATAGTGCCTGGAACACAACCAAAGAGACAGCAACTATTAATGCTCCCTTATATCCATGTGCTACTTCACCTTCCTCAGTCTTTGCATTTAGATCAATCGCCTGACTATTCAGGCTGATGGAAGGACTGAGGTTGTTAAGAATCTTCACCATCTTTCTCTTTCTCTCTTCCCCCAGGGTTTTAGCCAGATGATACCAAAATGACCCCAGAACCAGAAGATGGCAGAGCCACAAAGTGAAAAATACTTGGGTCTCTGAGTCATAGCTTGGAGGAGGGCTTCCTGGAAAATCATCCCAACAGAGACATCCACATTAAACTTTGTGTAAACAAAAAATGAATCTTTCTTGTGGTAGGCCACTGAGATTTAGATTGCTACAGCAGCTAACCGGTCTGAACCGTACAGCAGGTACTGAATACCAACTTACCATGGGAGAGACATTCGTGTGCTTCACATTAAAGTAACTTGGGAAATTAAAAAAAATCCTGACATTCAGGTTAAGAACCTATTAAATTAGAATCTTTAAGGACCAATTAAATTAGAATATTTAGGTGGTAGTATCAAGATATCAGTTATTTTTTAAAAACTTCCTAGGTGATTCATTATATAGCCAAATTTGAGAACTATTGTGTTGTATCAGTGCCAGTTAAAAGGTATGGTTTGTGGATCTTGTTAGAAATAACAAATTCTTAGATCTCCAGACCTTTGGAATCAGGTTCTCTTGGAATTTATATATTAGCAAGTTTTAATGGGGAGGGGTAGCGATTCTCAAGTATATTAAAGCTTCAGAAGTATTGTGCTACAATATTATGCTCTAGTGATTCTCAAAGTATTGTCCTCTGACTATAATCAGAGTTGTCTGGAAATGCTTCCTTAAAAACGGATTTCTGGGCCTGATCCCAGGACTTCTAAATCATGATCTCATAATGGAGGTGGCTTGATATCTACATCCCTAAAGAATTTTCTAACTTTGGGAGGCCGAGACGGGCGGATCACTAGGTCAGGAGATCGAGACCATCCTGGCTAACACGGTGAAACCCCGTCTCTACTAAAAAAATACAAAAAACTAGCCGGGCGTGGTGGCGGGTGCCTGTAGTCCCAGCTACTCGGGAGGCTGAGGCGGGAGAATGGCGTAAACCCGGGAGGCGGAGTTTGCAGTGAGCTGAGATTCGGCCACTGCACTCCAGCCTGGGCGACAGAGCCAGACTCTGTCTCAAAAAAAAAAGAATTTTCTAGATAATTCTTGGTTCATTGGAATTTCCACTTATCAGTTACTGACACCATTGCCCTTTCCCTAGAATCTCCTGCTTTCCCACAACTCCTCCCACCAACCACCAAGTCTCTTTGATTCCACTCATAAGATTCAAGAATGGAAGGGCAATGACTTTTTATTTTTAATCCCTGTATTTTCTTTAAACAGAGAATTCCTCCAGTGCTCTCAAGTGTTTTACAGACCACTAATTATTAAATGTGGAAGCTCTGGAGCAGAGAACCTTTCAACCGAAATGATGACAAATGATGCTGGCTGAGGACAGTCACACCTGAAAAATTAGGAATCCCTAAAATGACGTCAACCTATAATTCCTATTACAGAGCTCTGATTTCTACTGATCGTTTTTAGGAACCATATCTACCATGTGAAAAAAGCTGCTGGTGGGCCTAATTTAAATGAAAAGCAGAAAGGCCTTAAAAAAGAAATGGGAAAGGAATATACAGAAGCAAGAAGATGATTGAAAAAAGATGGCAAGTCATGTGGGTTCATTGGATAGGGTCTGGTTTGGGGAGTGTACTTTGGTTATGGCTAGGGAATTTGCAGGATAAAGAGAGAGACTCTATAATAGGCCTTTTTGATCAGAAAAAATAAAAATCTCATTCTCTCCCAATTTCTCTTTCCTCTTTCTCCTGCTCTCTCATTTCTTGAAGTAAATGTTGGGAGGATATGTGGGTAATTCCTATGGCTACTAAAGAAGCTGACTCTAAAACTACAGACAGCAGTAGACTTTGTGCCTTCTGTTTTTGCCCCCATTTCATGTTGTCCTTATTCTTTCATTTTTAAAATATCTACAGGTACTTGTTGAACACCAGTTCTGAGCTGCAGAGCAGGAGGCACAAGACGTAAATAAAAAAGTCTCTGTTGTGGTCCTAAAGAAGCCAACCATCTAGAAAAATGTATGCATGACAGGTCCAGCAGAATGGGCTTTGTGCTGATGAGGGAAGCAGGAGGAGAGCATGGGCTGGGAAAGGAGATGAGCAGGTTCACTTCTCATTTCTCTGTGGAAGAACCATGGCGAACACAGAGTCAACTCACAACTTTCATTGGAATTTTTCCCACTTGACTCCTTTGCAAGTTGGAATAAGGGGTTTGGAAAGGGAGGATTTCTTCATATAAAAATGGTCTGGGTATATCCATGCAAAACTAAAGGGAGTGGAAGAGACCCTAGGTCTACACATTTGATGGGATAGATCCTTGGGGCTCAGCCTCACCTGCAGGTACTGAAGGAAGCCTTAGTCTGCTATACAGAGCACTCTGCACCATGGGGGAGAAGATCAGTAAGCTAAACTTGGGTACTAGGCCTAAATCTTAAGAAGTGACCTCAAACCTAGGAAGATAAGTGAAACACAATAATGGGCAATAAGCAGGCAGTTGGGCCAGGAAGTCACTCTGGTAGAGTTGGAGGTTGGTTTCTAGTCCCTGGGAAGAGGCATGAGAAGGAGGCTGTATAGCATGGTAGCTGGAAGTTTGGAATTTGGAGTCAGTTGGACCTAAGTTTAGATCCTCATTCTATGGCTTTACCAACTACATGGCCTTGGGCAAATTACTTGATATGTTGAAATTTCTATTCCTCCATCCTGAAATGGTTACAAAGTGTATTTATATACGTACAACTATACACACCTATATACATACATACTTTATAAGGTAGCTGTGAAGAGTAAATGAAACAATGTCCTTAAAGGACTTGGCAGGGTCCCTGGCTCAGATGAAAAAGCAATTATCACTACTTTTCATGAACCATGTGGCCCTTGGTGGCTAAAAGTGAAGGGCAGGGATATGGAGAAAATATTCCTGAAATACTCTGCAAATTATAAAAAAAGGACCAAGAAAGAGTCCCAATTTTCCATAATGCATAGAACTACAACACACAAATCAGGCAGAAACCCAGATACTTAACCAGGCACCCAGACAGGAGCATGGTGACAGTGAGGATAACTTATTGCTCGCCCATAGCAGTGTGGTTAGAAAATGTGTAAGGTTTGGACCCAGATTTCAATCCTATCTCTGTACTGCACTAGCTGTGTGATAGGTTCAAGTTACTTAGGTTACAAAAAGGGAGAGCATAGTGTGGAGATAAAAATGCTTGCCTTTCATTACTGAAGTGAAGAACAGACACAGATGCCTATGAGGCAGTACATGGTTGAAACTCACAAAGTGGCATTATCATTGAGCAGGAATGGGGCTGAGCCTCCACAGGGGCACCTACTTTCTCAAGCCTTGGGAAGAGAAGAGATGTAGAAGCCTGCAAGGCAAGCAGGGTTGGCTTTAGTACATAGAAATAACTAAGACATTATTTCTGTATTTTCCAATGCCTTCCAGGGTTCTCAGTATACGCAGAAAAATTTGTCAACTGCTATATATATCTTCCTTGAATATGCAAACAGCTTGGATTCCACACCATGGTGAAGACCATACACTACTTGCAATTCTGACTTGGCTTCCCTGTGTTCTCTACTGTATACCTAGCTTCGAAAGCTATTCTTCATCCCTACTGCCTCCCAAGTTCAAGCTCAGGTTCCAGTATATAAGGGCACATCACTAAACAGTGCTTTTCTTTTTTTCTTTTTCTTCCTCCTAGCTGACACAGGGGCTTAAGAGATTAATGCATTAGTCCTTAGTACTTTCTCCTTCTAAGGCCTGGTTCGAGTCAGAGCTCTTTGATTAGCACTATCTCTTCCAGTACTGTACTGAGCTAGTTTGCATTTCAGTTCTTCTGGCATTTGTTCCTGAGAGGGAGGTGAAAAGATTAAAAAAAATAAAAACAACTTACAGAGTTTGCAAGATCACATCATCTAGTGATAAACCATTTAAATGTTCACATTTTCTGACTGGGCAAATATACATGATCAGTTTCCCACACAAGCAATTTATTTAAGAAGAGAAATATATATGTATGCATATAAATACCGTGGCTGGTGGGTGCTAAAGAATATGGTTTATTTCAGCAATAGGTTCTTGAAACTTAGTAGTTTCACAGGATTATTGGTGTAATAAATCCCAGAGGTTTGTTATAGCATTAACTGCCCACTATGTACTTCAAGCTATTAATCAATACACCAGCCATTAGTTACTGGCAATTTATGATATTTTAAGGGTCACTAAATATTTTTTAGTTACAATTTCTATCTATCTTTTTTCTTTTTTTGGCTGCATTTATCAGAAAGATAGACATCTCTGGCTGATCAGATGTGTTTTCACATGCAGAGTGTCACTGGGATTTAATAGTCAGAGATTTACTTAGGAAAAAAAAATTTCTGTAAATCAACCAGCCAGAAAAATATCCTTCTAACTATTGAAGAAGGAAAAGTGAAATGTGAGTGTTTCATAAAGTGGCTCTCCTGCATACCTATGTCTTCTTCCTAGGTGCCTTGTTTGTAAATGCCACTAAGAATGGCAAATGGATGACTATAAAACTGCCTTCTACAAATGTCCTTAGCGTAATCTGAGGGCATGCCATTTTGTAGGAAGTGTTCCCCAAAGACACGATCCTCTGAACCTTGGAAGGTTTTCTTGTCTTAATGTTTGCGTTTTTTTTTTTTTTTTTTTTAAATCTGTATTTGGCTCTGTTTCTTTCCATACACTTTGGCATGGTCTCTGTTAGAATAACATGGAGTTTATGCTTAGCTTGAGGTCACGTTGACTATCAAACAGCAAGTCAACAGGGCAAGTGAAATAGCTGTTCAGCCCTGCTTTCTGGAGAAGAACAGCAAGAGCAGAAACTTCATGTTCCCTGGGCAGCAAATAGGCCATTTCTTATCATGAGGGAATTTCCTCCTAAAGAAACGTTCAGTAGGTTCACGTGTGCTAATTCTGTGTTAGGCTGTTCAGTCTCTGAATCTGGTCAAGTAATTAAGTACTTGTTCTCAGGTGGAGTTTATTCCTTCCCTCCTCTGACTTTTTATTCTGTTTAATTCATAATCACTTTGGTGGATTTTGCCACAGAACAATTCCTTTATACCATAGTGGTTACTGAAGTGTTACCTCTTTGACTAATAGTAATATTAGGCAGTTGGTTAGAAATAATGGTACACCTGATATCTCTTAGTGTTGATGGTCTCTTCTTCCAGTGGGATTTAGGGAGCTACTGCAGTTTCTTTGCTATTCATTTCAAGAACAAATCTATTATGCATTTGTCCACCCCAAAAATTAAAAATGAAGTTAGCAAAAATGATTTTTGTTTGTTTGTTTGTTTCCTAAGTTAATTTCTACAAAGTCTTTCTCTC